CCATTGGTCACCTTTCCTTCCCCACACTGAGCACACACCAATCTATTTTCCTACTTCTGTTTACAACAAAAGTCATTGAAGAATTGTTATAGAGACTTTCTCCACTTCCTTTGTGTCCATGCTTTCTCTATTCCATGTTCTAACAAGTCAATTCTTGTCAAAATCACCTCTGTTGTCATATCACTGAATTCAATGGTGAGATCTCAGGCTTCACCTTTCTTGGTTTATTGACACACTGAACATAGTTGATTCTTTATCCCTTCTCACAACCTTTTCTCTTTGCTTTTTAGATCCTCCTATGTTGGTTCTCTTTCATCACTCTTTTTTGCTATCTGTTGGTGGCATCTCTTCACCCCTAGCTTCTTAAACACTGTATTACATCTTTGCTATCTATATTTTCTAGTGAACCACTTTCTTGACTTTAAATGTTGAAAAACCCCCAGCTATATCAATCTCAGTCTTCACTTCTGAACTCTAGAGTCTCTGCTTACTTCATATCACTCAGTTTCTAAATAAGCATTTCAAGTTTAACTTGTCTGCAATAAAACTCCAAATTTATACCTCTTTCCCCAAGTCATTTCATTTCACAGATGTCTCCAATTCAATGCAACTTTTTTCTACCTTGTTGCTTAGGTCAAAATTCTTAAAGTCCTCTGTTAACCTTTATCATACTCAAAATCTTCGCATCTTCTCACTCTATTTCATCAAACATATATGGAATCCAGCCATTCCAGTCACCACCACCTCCCTTGTGGGTGATGATGGTGCGTAAGTGCACGAACTTCCTGGCTATCTCACTATTTCTACTACTGCTACCTATAGTCTTACCAAGTTGACATTCAGAATAGTTCTTTTGCAATATAAGCCATACCGTGTCTCTTTGTTAAATACTTCCCAGTTTATCACTAATAAATGAAAGTCAAACTCTTTTTAGTGGCCCTTCTACCACCCTGACTTTATCCTACTAACCTCATACTTGCTTAACCTGAAAATCCCATAGGCTTCTTTTCTGGCTTCTATTATACTCAAAGATGCCTTCACCTCAGGGCCTTTGTGCTTGTTATTCTCTTGGTCTTAGATTTTCTTACTCCCCACATCTAAATGGCTTCTTCAACTTTCTGTTCATTTATCACCTTTTTGGTGAAATTTTGATTTATCACATAAGGAAAATAATATCCCATTCACCCCTTGGCATTTCCAAGTCTGCTTTGTCCTGCTTTATTTTTTCTCATTATAGCATTTACTGTTCCCTGATATAATAAATGTTTCTTTGCTTGTTTATTGGCCACCCTCAACTACATGAAGGAAGCTCTGTGAGCTACCAGAGACATTATGTTCTTCCTCTATTTGTCTTCACCCTTAACACCTAGAAGAATATCTGGTCTATGAAATGTGTTGAGTATATAAATGAATGAATGAGCACCTCAGTTGACCATGAGAAAGTAGGATGTCAGTCATTCCTTTTTGTTCAAATACACTGGCTTGAAGACTTGTGATTGTGAACTTGCTGTGTTAACAGTTTATCTTCAGAATACTTAATTTCCTTGACTTGCATTTGACCTAGGCTTTCTTTCCTGTTCAAATGCCTTTCTTTAAGTAGCATAAATTTTACTGAACACATGGACATCAACTGCTCCAAAACAGTTCCATATTGATGTCTTCACAGTGGTGGTCTAAGCAATTGTTTTCCTGTTAGGATAGCTGGCTTGGGAATTCCTATTTATGTTCCAAATGTCATTGAAAAGCCACCGAATATTACACAAACGATGCCAGTGTGAAAAATATCATCAACTGCCATTTTAGTTCAAGCTGTGCTGCTGCTGCACAGCAAACTGTTCCAAATTTGGAGAAAACCAAGTCCAAGTCACCTTAAGTGGAAGGTAGATGTAAAACAGTGAGTAACTTTTAAAAAAAAAACAATGTGTTCACCCAATTAGAACCGTATATCTTGTATTGTTTTCTTAATACTTTTTGACTTGTCAATTGTATTGTTTTTCCTGTTGTAGTCAAAATTGTTTTATTATTTCTGCCAACAGTTTGGGGTTTTTGTTTTGTTTTGCTTTTGGTGGTGGTAGGTTTTTTTCTTTTGGCAGTACTGAGGTTTGAACTCAGGATCCCCTGTTTGCTAGGCAGGCACTCTACCATGTGAGCCATTCCACCAACCCCTTTTGTGTGGTGTGTTTTTGAGACAGGGTTTTGCTTTATGCCTGAGCCAGTCTGGACTGTAGTCCCCCTATTTCTGCTTCCCTGGGTAGCTGGGATGACAGAAGCATGCACCACACCCAGTCATTGGTTGAGATGGGGTCTCATGAACTTTTTGCCTAGGTGGCCTAAAGAACCAATCCTCCCTCACCTCCTGAGTGGCTAGGATTGTAGGCCTGGAACCACCACACCCAGCCTGGTTTTCCTTATTTGTTTATTTTTGGTGATGCTAGGGTTTACTCTCAGGCATCATACTTATTCAGCAGGTGCGGTGTTCTACCACTCTACCTATGAAAACGGGCATTTCAGATATAAAAACTCCATTTTTGCCACAGGTAGTTTATGACTTCATTTAATATTGTGATTTCAAAGCTCCAGCTTTGGCTTTGAAATGGGAATAATAAGGTTGCTACATGATTGAAATAAGCAAATCATACTCAGCACCCAATATACTAGTATTTCTGTTGTTATTCATGGGTTTATTATACTGTAATTAGAGTTATTTACTGCTAGTTCATAATTTGGAGCTAGATTCATTTCCATGAAATAAACTTTTTGTTCAAACAAAACCTACTAGTCTGAATGTATGGATCCATCTCTCATGGGTTTAATGATTGCTTCCTTTCTCCTAGTCAAGGCCTAACATATCTTCTTGAACAAAAAATTAAGTACCTCAGTGATTTGCACACTTTAGACAGACAACAAGTTAGCATGATACAATGTTTCTTTACCACATAGTATTATTTTAATTTTAAGACACAATGCTCATTTTGCTCAAACACCCTTTATCCAAAACAATATGTGATCTATTCCACAATTCTAATAATAAGGGAATTAAACAGTGTGCCAAAGATATGAAAGACAAATCACTTGTCACAAAATGTAGGCAACAATATTTAGATCCAAATTATATGGCTAATTTCTTAGCCTTGTTTAGTTACAATGACCTTGTCTATAAAAATACAGATTATGATTTTGGACTCCAGGTATCCAGAATATGTTTTGAATTTGAAGAATTATTACCCAACAAAACCAGTTGGAACTCAGTAAGTTCAAACAAATTTATCCTCTTCAGGAATTTATTATTTGGTTTATAACCTCTATCTATTCCTTTTCTATTTTGTTCCAAATCCATCTTATGAATAATTAATGACATGTACTCAGAAGTTGTACATAAAACAACAAAAACATCCTGGTAACTGTCTGGCATCAAATACTTCGATGATCCAGATGAATAAGAATCCTAAATAACTTAATTTCAATACTAAACTGATATATAATATTGTAAGTTATTTTGGCCTAGATTGATATTTAATTAAAGATAGAAAATAGAGGTCAACTTGTCATGACTTACGCTTGTCATGTGTAAGTATACAACACAGAGAAGGACTGTTCGTTCTCAAATTTGGTTAAATAGACATTTCAACATCTTTAGGTCAAAAAATGTTACTAATCTGAGACAAGAGTATCGGATAGAGAGCACTGCAAAAAGCATTGCAGAATAACACTCCAGTCATGTGTGCCTCATGAATATATATTAGCGACTTTAGAATCTAGGGCATAGACTGTCTTTTAAATGTATTGAAAAAATGACATTAATGAAAAGAGGGAATTATGGGGAGGTAAGACCTTGTTCTGTCAAGTTTAGTACCTGTTCTAAAAACAATGATTCAGAATTTTAAGCTAAACCGTCTCTCCTAGTTAAAATTCCCTTCTGACCAAATAGTGGTGCAGAGAACTTTTAAAAGTCAAATAAAAACAAGCTTTGGTAAAATATCCTTGCTTTTTCTGAGTGACTTTCTAAAAAATACTTTTTGAGCACCATCTTAAGCCCATACCATGCCTTTACAAATGACCCAGATAACTATTAACAATTGTACTATCTAGTTTTTTGAGTAATAAAGTCACTAAAAATCCTAATAACATTGCTAAGGACACTGAAAGAGAGTCACTTGGTCCTTTTATCTAGCAGTTCTTTTTTCATGTGCAAAGCATTTCCGTCTTTATTTCTTTTCAGAACACAGCATAATAGGCATTTTTCCTTCTCTGAGTTTATATTATAAATTAGTGATTCTTTGCATTAATGCCATGACTTTTTAGCCCTCTGGTGGGCTGATTCAACCATTAGAGTCCTTGGTAGTTAATAAATGAGTGTTTTATAAAAAATCCTACTAGGAAAAATGATATTCAAATCAGATCTCCAGGGCATTTTGTTAAAGTGAATTCCTGTAGGTGTGTGTAGTAAGATGATGAAAAAGTTCCCTTGGGAAGGTTATTTGTGTGCTTCAGCCTGGCTATATAAAATAGCTGAAAACCCTCAGAGCTAGTCATCCACACCCCCAATGAACCTTCTTCCCAGTATACACAGAGTTGAGCAAGTGAAAGGAGGTAGGAATTTAAGGAAAAGGTGTCAAGAAGCGAAGCTGGTGCTCATTAAGTCACTTAGGAAAAAAATCAATTTTTTAAAGTCATATGTAATGAACAAATTTGGCTTCCAGTGCTGTGGTATTAAAAGAGAGCGTATTACTATGAAATAACCATTAAGTATAAAATTCTTAAGCAGTTTAAAGCACTAAAGTTGGAAGTACTTAAAAGCCCTGTTAAAACTGTCTATTACACAAACTAATCTGAAGTATAAATACTTAAGGATTTCTTTGCACATTCCTTACTGTCATTGCTTTTTTTTTTTAAGCAGCTTGCTTTTTGCATGATGATAAAGTAGCAAAAATCAATAATTTTCTCATTTCTTCATAAAAGGAAGCAAATGTCTCCATGAAGGCTGTTGTTTTCATTTGGAACCACATCAGGCCTTGCTGAACGGTGGGTAACTCAGAAGTTGAAGGTGTCAGGCGGGAAGGTCTTGGAAGGCTTAGGGAGGTGTGGCCCAGCAGTGAGAGAAATGGGAAAGAGAATAGCAGAGCCAAAGCTGTACAGGTTACAGGAAGTGAGAACACATGGAACCAAGCTCCTGGGTATTTGTATTCTCATGGAAGAATTTAGTGGTTTGTGAATTTACACAAATTTTTATAATCCCTCTGAAGTAAAAAAAAAAAAAAAACTCAACCAACCTCTGATAATTGTTAAGAGAATTGCATGAGAAATGCCTTAAAAGAGCAAATTGTAAAGCAACAAGTACTTTTGTCACTGCTGTTTTATGTGGAGAGGAGTTGGTTTGGTTTGGTTTTCTAAACAAAGGAACAAGAAACTAACTGGAAACAGCCTTGCTGCCCTTTTTCTCTGGCTTCCTTCCAGGTCTTCAGCGGAAGTGTTGTATCTGTTCCTGTCTTGTAGATGCTGGATGTGTATTTGAGGAATAAATGAAATTTTTTTCTCACTAACCTGAACTCTACAATATAAATTATGTACTTCCTCATAGTGGTTTTATTTTTATCTTTGTCATCACATCTGTTAATTTCTTGATGTCTTGACAACTGCATGTCAGTGTCCACCCAATACATGCAGATAAACACATGAGCTTTGTTACTTTTCAATGACTTTTTTCCCTGAAAAAAAATGAAAAAAATGTTGTGTCCTTCTCTTCTGAATTCCTTCAGTGATTTATCATTGTGGTCCAGTAACTGGACTAAGTGCTGAAAATTTGAGAACAAAGACAAACCTCTGTGTCTTGAAAATCTAAAACTTTTTAATATCAAACATTTAGCAAGCTCTTGCTAAGTGCAACACACCCTATTAAGAACTATATTTTTGCCACTTCAGATTTTTTTTTCTATAAGAACCCACGAAAGTGGGTATTATTTTTAGTCACAATTTATAAACAAGGGAATTGGAGTTTGGGGATTAACTTTCCCAAGTTCAGAGGGGTGGCAGTGGGACTCTAAACCAGGCAGGCTGTCTCCAGGATCCATCCTCATGGAAAACAAGAAGTAACATGGCAAGGTATAATGTGCTAAATGTCCACAGAAAATTTTAAAATGGCCATCATTGCTCAGGAATATGAAATATATCTGCGTGTGTGCTGCTTAGAAAGAATTGGTGAGATAGGTAGAACTTGAGTTCAGCTTGCTAAGAAAAAGCTTTAAGAATAACAACTGGAAACATTTATATAGCACTGAGCATGTGAAAGTGACCAATTGTTCATGATGAAGTCATTGATGTCTCCTATCAACCTTATAAATTAGGCACTGTTATCATCCCATCATTTTATAGAAGAGGAAACTAAACCCAAGCAAGTAGAGAACTTGCCTAGGTCACCTACCTTGTGAGAGAAAAGTTTAAGGAGCAGGAGACCTCACTGTTCCAATGAAGGGGTGGTATACCTAGAAACCATGGCAAGAATCAGACAGGTTTTTCCATAAGGGCTTTTGCTCTGGGCAACGAGGAGGAAGCACTGGAAGGAAGTTGCTTTCAGTAAAGGATTTATATACTCAGTGCTATGAGGACACTGGAGTGCAGGTAAAGTCATTTGGGGCTTTTATTGTTTGCAGTTTTATTATCATAAAGATTGCCACATTAAGTCTCATTTTAGACACTATTCTAGAAGCCTCCAGTACCACCCTTCCATTGTAGAATCCAGTTCTGAGGTAGATGCCCCTTTGTGCATTGGGAGGACCCAGAAATTCTCCCTCTCATAGCTCTTCCCACACTTTTATGGTTCCATTTTGTAATTGTGGGTTTTCCAGAGAAACAGAGCCAGTAAGGTGTGTGTGTGGTGTGTGTGTGTGTGTGTGTGGTGGTATAAAGACATTTATAATCAGGAATTGGCTCCTTCAGTAATGGAAACTGAGTCCCAGGATCTTCAGGTGGCAAGCTGGAGAGCCAAGAGAGCTGTTGTTGGTATAGTTCTAGTCTAAAGGCAAATGGGTCCAATATCCAGGAAGAGATGTTCATTTAAGTCCAAAGGCAAGAAAAAAGAACACAAAACAAATCCAAACAATGTTCCAGTTTGAAAGCAGTCAGTTAAGAGGCGCTCCCTGTAATCTCAAGTGGGTCATCCTTTTTGTTCAATCCAGACTGCCCACTGATTGAAGGGACCTCAGCCACACGAGGTAGGAAAATCTGACTTACTTATTCTACCAGTTCAAATGTTCATCTCATCCAGAAACACAGTAGAATAACACTTGACCAACTGCCTGGACATCCTGTGACCCAGTCAAGCTTACACAATTATCACACTTTTGTCATTCCATCTAAGACAGTGCAGAGAAGAGGGCATCTATCTTTCTCTCCTGCACTTAGAATAGGACTTGAAACAGGGAAAATTATAAGTATATTAGTTACCTGAAATATTTTTTGAAAAACATAAGACATAAATAGATTTTAACTGTGTAATTCCCCCATTACCTTGAGTTTCTATATTTGATACCTCTCACCCAGTCTCTATCCATATCACAGTGAGGAGTTAGACCTTTCCTTCTGCCCCTCACAGCTTTTGCTCTAAATTTGATCTCATACTAAGGAGATTGTATTAGTAGTGATGATTCATCCTTCCTTGTGGGGAGGAGCATAGCACAGTAGTCCTCCCTTGTCCATGAGTGATATGCGCCAAGACCTAGAATGAATACCTGAAACTGTAGAAAGTACCAAACCCTGTTGTTGTTGTTTTTGTACATACCTACCTATTATAAAGATTAATCTGTAAATTAGGCACCATAAGAGATTAATAAAGATAACTAATAATAAAATAGAATAACAATGCAATAAAAGTCATTTAAAATTTATCAATTGCTTATTTCTGGGATTTTTCCATTTAACATTTTTGAACCACAGCTGACTACAGTTAGTGAAAATGGCAGAAAGTGAAACTATGGTAAAGGGAGAACTACTGTAGATCCTGACTTCTTGTTTTTACAAGACTTCAGCATAGCCATAACTTAGTACTTCATTGTTTTAGTCAGTTTTCCATCACTACAACACGCAATACCAGAGATCATTAACTTACAAAGACAAAAAAGGTTAATTTGATTCACAGTTTTAGAAATTCCAGACAATCCCTGATTGTCTCCATTAATTATGGACCTGTTGCCAGGCAGCACATCACAATGGGAGCAAACCTACTCACTTTGTGGCCAGAACAAAGTAGAGAGAGAAGGAGAAAGAGACAAGGGTCCCATGATCTACTTTGAAGGCAGGCTCCAAATGTCAAAGGATCCCACAACTAAGCCCTACCTCTTAAACTTTCCACCACCTCCACCATGCGGAAAATCAAGCACCTGGCCTTTGTGGGACCTTCCAAATCCAAGCTATGTCACTTATCATGACAAAAGTTTCTCCTTTTTTCAGTTATCCACCCCCTCCTCCAAATCACTGTTAGTTCTGATTGCGCCTACTATTCTTCATTTCTCACATATGCAGCCTTTGTGCCTTGCTCTGCTATGTGAACCTCCACGTTTAAACCTTTTTGTTGCAGAGGAATCAGTTGTGTCACCAAATGAGTTCCCATGACACTGGGTATCTCCTTCCTGAAGAGATAGGAAAATCACTCATTCTTAAGATGTTACCTTTAATGGTGCATTAATTAAGTTCTTCCAAAAACAGATATTATGAAAAGATTAGATATACAAGAGTTTTATTGGGGGAAAAACCTTCATGAGAGAAAAAGGCAAAGAAGCTGGAAAAGTTGTTAGATCACCATGAAGGTTTAATGCTTTTGGAGGAGACAATGAATGAATGAAGACTGGGTATGGAGAGTTTCAGGTGATGTGTAGTGCAGGTCTAAGAAAGTTTCAATGAAGCCATGAGGGAATTTTTGAGCCAAATGTTGCCCCTCAGCAGAGTTTTGCGTCTCTCAAGAACTGGTTGCCTTTGAACACCTGGCTCATTCATTTGAATCCCCAGTCAGTTATAATCCTTGCAGCTGGAAATCTAAAGAGTCCACATATTCATGGTGGCTACATGACTTGAATCTTTTGAGGCAGTAGAATGGTCCTTTATTTCCTTTACAGAGTTGCATCTAAATATATTTTCAGTACATTAAATGTACTTTAGATAGTGAAATAATAGACAGCGCATAGGAATCTTAAATCCATTTGAAGTTACATAGAGTCCTTGGTAAGCTTTAGTAGTTAGCTGATTCTGACATTTTAGAGGAAAAAAACATGGTTAACTGAGTAAAATTAAAATACTGCAGGAAATTTTGAACATAAATAACTTTCAGAGAAAAATCAAAGGTGTTTTTATTTTTATATGCAGTTTCTAATGAACAGAAATTGATTAAAGTCATAGTTTTTTTGGCTTTGGAGGTGAAATTCAAATAACTTCTTCAAAAGAAATGCATTTAACAAATTGTTGATGCCACAGATCTTGTGAGAAAGAACATACAAAAGTTTGTTGTATGGAATAAAGCATATCTAATTTATAGACAAGCCTTTTCCAAATTCCAGAAGGCTTTTAAAATTTGCATTCTTATAAATAAACCAGTCTTTCTTAGAAGCAACCTTAAGTCTAATAAATAAATAAAATGTAGTAGTTATTTCACATAGCATCTTTTCATGCCAGAAAGAAATGATTCAAGATAATATATGGTATAACTTCTAGAAGGAAGTGCTATTAAAAACTATATAGAATGATTTCTCTTCCCATTATTCATTCTGCTTACTGTTCCCTGTACTTGACCACATGTTTACATATTATCTCTGGATATTTTCACCTAGATTTCATCTCATTGAAAAAGGCTTTTCCATTTCCTCCTCCATCCCCTGTGAATCCATTACTTCTTTGATGATGCATTGAACTGGCAAAGACTACCCTCTTCCAAAAAGTCTTTCCTAAAAACTATTTTTTCCAATTTTCTTTTGGAGGCTACAAAAGCAGGATGAAATGCTGTCATTAGGCCTCCTTGTTTCTTAAGCTCCTACAGGAGT